ATGGCGCAGGGTCGTTGTGAGTATTACACAAGATAATGCATTTAAAGCGTTTTGTGCAGTGCCTGGCACACAGAAAAGGCTCACTAAATGATGATGGGAATAAATGACTGATGAAGATAAGTAAATAGGCTGGAAAGGTAATTTGGGGCCAAGTTACAGGGCCCTGCCTGTCATCCTGAGGAATCATAATGTGTGGGGACTAAAGGGGACCTTAGTTTGGAATTCATCATATAGGAAACTGAGACTTGTTCAGGTGTTTTAGTAGGGGAGCGGTGTGCTCACAGCCAAGCTGGAGGAAGAGTTCTTCTGCAGCACGTGCTGGATGAATCACAGTGAGGAATGAGGAGCCAGGATCTGATGTGCTGTGATCCTGGTGCCACAGTCCAGGGACAGGAGGTACTGAGGGCCCAGGTGAGATGGGGCACAGGGACTGGACAGGAGATGAAGCTAGAGTATTTTTTGACTCCTTTAAAAACTTTGCCTGGTCAGCAAGATCCTGAAGTCCCGCTTTAGCAGCTGCTTTGAACGTGACTATAAGTTGCCTAAAGGTCCCAAGGGAGCAGCCCAGGAGCATCTCGTCCACCGAGTCTCTGAGAGATGGCTCACACTGGGCCTGGCTCTGCCACTGGGGAAGGGGGTGCTTGGAGGCTGGCCCAGCCTCTTCCTATAGACTTTCCCAGCACAAATGAACCACCAGAGAAGTCTTTGAACCCCAGACCTGAGCGTATTGATCGAGCCTACTTCTATGTGCAGTTTACCGCCCCCCCCACCCCAACACACAGAGGGATATCATAGTCCAAAACCCTTCTCTGCCCCTGCAGAGAGTGTGCAGGAGATAAATCATGCACTAAGCCTCAAGTGACGGCGTCCACCCACAGATCCACTGTGGAAGGGACAGTGGGCCCTTGACAATGTAGTTGAAAATCATCCTGCCCCCATAACTCCCCCACATCATGATACAGGAGAAGGTGTGGCATGTGGGACACCCCTGGGATGCCAGAGGCGGCAGCCCGCAGGTGGGGGCTTTCTCAGTGTCTACTCAGACTGAAGGGAAGGGCTCTGTCGTGACTGCTGCCAGGAGTCGAAGCCACCATTAGCTGTCACGAGCTGAAAGCAGGTATTGGGCAAGTGTTAGTTAAGTTTTTCTCTTCTTATCTGCCCCCCAATTCTCAGGTGCTCCTTTCTACCCCCAGCCCTTTAACACCATGGCAGCTTCGCTCAGCAATGGCACTGGGCTGCTTCCTGTCAACCTAGAGAGAGTGGGTTTTATGAAAGCTTGGGAGACTCCAAAGATTTACTTTAGTAAGGGAAACTCTTCTCTACAGGAACTTACAGACACAGGGCACATGGGTATTAGGGGATAGTTTTAGCAGTGAGAGAAGCCCCAACTGTGAGCAGCCTTCGTAAGTACGGAACACTTGATTTTCTCTAATTCTCCAAGTGTTCCTTGAGTGTTTTGTTCTGTGCTGTGCAGGGCACTAGGGAAACACAGAGCTCAGTTCCTGTTGAAGAGAGACTCCTTTTAGAGCAGGAGACAAGCTTGTGAGCACATCATCATTTCAGCATAATCGGCACTGGAATAGAAGCACATTTGGGACCTTTTCATGCCTCTAAGGAGCAAGCACCTGCCCTGTCAGGGGCAAGGCAGGAAGGGCTCAGGAGGAGCACCATGAGCTGACCAGAAGTGAAACCGAATAATAACTACTTCTATTAAAAGCTCACTCAATGCCAAGCCTTTACATCCTGTGAAGAATGTGAGAAAGATATGGAGCATGGCCTGCATGAAGGAAGGGCCCTGGAGGAGCAGGCAGGGACTGAAGTCCTAGTTCAGATCTGCCTCTAACCTGCAGTCTGACACAGGATAAGTTCAAAGACATCCCTCTGCAGTCACACAAATGAGATTGGACTCGAAGGTAGAGTTCTGTTTTCTATTAAGTATCTTATCTCTCAAGAGAGACAAAATGAATTCAGGTAAGCATTAAAGAACAACATGAAACTGCATAAGGAACCACAAAGTTGAGCAGTAGAGTAAAGGATTCAGGAACTGAGAGAGGGGAAACTTTGGACTGAGAAATCCAGGAAGGGTTCCTGGAAGAGGAGAGCCCTGAGCTGGGCTTGAAGAACAATTAAAATTGGAGCAGTCTGAGAGGAGAAGGACACCATAATGGAGGAATAGTGCTGCTTTTCTCAGGAACGTTCAGTGGCTCCCCAGACCTACCACACATAGCATTTCAGGGTCTGTATAGCCTGGCCCAGCTTCTACCTAGCCCAGTCATCTCGACATCCCCTCCTGCACCCTGAGCAGTCCACCTGCTCTCTGAATGTACAGATACAGACTGCCGCCCGAATTCCCTTCATCTCCTGCTCTGTTTCTTTCAGTGCCTCCTTCCCCACTCCTCTGCTTCAGAATTGAACAGTCTTTTCCCTTTCCCTCTGAACTCTCTCCCATTTGCTTAGGGTCACACATGGACAAAGCCTAACCCACTAAACTACAGACACCTCAACTGTAGTTTACCCCTCCCTGTGGGCCACACGTCACACCAATGGCTCATGTTTGGCAAATGTCGGATGAATGAATGAATGAATGATCAAGCCAGAACATGGTTTCATGGCTACAGAGGTTCATGAACTTGTAGCAAGAGGCCCTGAACATGACTGACCTGAGCGTGTGGCCCATACTGCTGTGGGTGGGGTATCTTAAAGCTGGAGGAGCTCAGGTGTCATCTAGCCCAGTCTGTGTCATATGAACCCTCCTCAGCATTGCAGACAGCAGGCCAGACCTTGTACAAGCGCCTTCAGTGCAGACCCATGCTGTAGCTATAGCACATTGCCCAAGTGCAGTAGGCAGGATGTAGTCTGTGGAGCCTGACTGACCTGGGTTCAGATTTCAACTCTGCTATTTGCCAGCTTTTTGGCCTTATGCAAGCCACTTTCTGAGTCTTGGTTACTCTTTTTTTGTAAAAGGAATATAATACTACCTTCTTTCAAAGGTGTTATAAAAATTATAGAAAATATACAAACCACACACACACACACACACACACACACACACACACACACACCAGCTTATGAAAGGTAACTAAAGAATAGCAGCTAATTTAATTTTTATGATGTGATTAGTTGTTACATATGGCTAGGAAAGTTTAGCGGAGAGTTCAAAGTAACAAAATTTGGATTTAAACCTAACAGTCTGTCGTAATTACAATGAACTTAATATGGTACTCATTAACATGGTCTCATATGAAGACGATGTGCCAAAGATGTTCAGGATCAGGGGTAACCACACTTTTGCCCTAAGGACACACCCCATGGAAAATACTCACACTGAGACACTTGCCAGCCCACAGGGGCTGCTGCAGACATCCAGAAAGCTGCAGAGGCTGGCCTGGGAGAGATGGCCCAGAAACGGTGATCAGGGCCAGTGTACACCTATCTCAGTTCTAATTCTGGAATCAGGCAGGGATAGGAGCAGAGAACTCAGGTCTCTGCCATCATATATTTAGGACCCAGGTCGTTACTTGTTTGGCTGCTAGGAGGTTTAGGCCAAGTATTAGGGGCGCGTCCAACAGACGGGGCTTCAGTCCTGAGGAGTGGGAGGAAGGGAGGCAGCCTGGAGCCTCAGGCAGGTAATGGTGACCAGAGCCCCACATGTAACCAGGGTCAGCCCTAGGCCTGTGTGTAGAGCCAAAATGATTCAGAAGTCAGGTCTTAGTAACTGGTTGAAACTTTGGAAGGTGGAGAAAGGAGGAGGAGAAGCGAGGAAAGGACCAAAAAGTAGCTTTGATGCCAGAGTGGATGAGTGACATTATCAGAATCAGGAAGGTCTCAACTCTCATCCCAAATTCCTTCTCCCAGTTTTCCAGTCTCAGTGGATAGCACCGCAGCCCACAGCCCAAAGCCCTAGAGTTTCCCCAGTTCTCTCCCTGACCCTGACCTCCCACAGTGCAGCTGTTTTCAAGTCCTGCCCACGTCCCTCTTGAAACAGTGCCCTGTTCTCCGTCCCCAGTGCCACTATCCTGGTTCGGGCCTCCACTTTCCTCCTGGCTTCCTGCCTCACCTCTCCTTTCTGTCCACCATTCACATTGCTGCAAAATTCTCTTTTCTAAAAGAAATCTAACCATACTCATCCTAAGCTTGAAATCATTTGGTAACTCCTTGTTACAGTCCTAAGCATCTCCTTAGCATAGCTAGCAGGACCTTCATGATCTATCCAGCTTCTTATGCCCTTCCCCATAAGCTTCAACCCAGACACCTGAACTTCCTGCAGGTCCCCCATAGGGGGCCATGCCTCTTATGACCCTCTTCCTGTACTCCCCATTCTGCCTGGACCTGCTCCCCCCTATTCTAGCCAGCTCCCTATCAGCCTCTCTGACTTCACTCCAGAACCAGTCCCCCCACCCGCCGCCCTGACTCCTGGGCTGGCATCAGAGCAAGTTCTAGCACCATAAGAAGCAAACCCTCTGCTACCAAAGGGAGGAATTATCCTTAAGAATTCTGGATCACAAAGGGTCTTCATCATGACAAAGCGGGGAAGGGAACTGACGTTCGTCATTTGACTGCAATATACCAGGCACATTGTCTAACACAATGCCTGACACATTCTCATGTAACTTTCCCAGCTCTAACCTCACACACAACAGGCACTCAATTAGATGTGTAGAACCCATGAAAGACTGAATGGACTGAGTTTTTCAGCCTCATTTTAGATATCAGGAAAATGAGGCCCAAAGATTAGAATTGCCTGTCCCTGATCATACAGTGGGAGCTGGGAGCCTGAGCTCTTCTCCAAGGTACTACTGCTATTGCCACAGCCCGCATTAACTTGGCAGGAGAAAAACTTATGCTTATCCATGAGGACAGAGTGGAGTTAATTCTTCAGCCACACATCAGTCAGTGCCACAAGCACTAAATGCCAATTTGCTGAGTTTGCAGCCCTGTGTGAGGAGCGCTGCTTCCAGGCTTATGATGTTTCCTATCACTGTACTTTCTTTGATTCACAGGAATGAATTCAGAGCATGGACAGACATCAAGCCTGTGAAGCCTATAAAAGCGAAGCCCCAGTACAAGCCTCCAGATGATAAGATGGTTCATGAGACCAGTTACAGTGCTCAGTTCAAAGGGGAAGCCAATAAGCCAACACCAGCTGATAATAAGGTCACTGAGCGCAGAAGAATACGCAGCCTCTATAGCGAACCTTTCAAGGAACTCCCAAAGGTGAGACGGATCTTGGGGGAACCCATCAGCACAGGCTGGAACTGAGGGGTTCACTGCAGCAGAGCATGGGGACCTGGTTCCCAAGGGCTCTTGTAAAATCCTTCCTTTTCTTTGTATCACTCTGAGACAGAAGGGCTTTCTTTTTCTTTTTGTTAAATTTATTGAGGTAACATTGGTTAATAACATATAAATTTCAGGTATGCAGCTTTATAATTTGATATCTGTAAACTCAATTGAATGCTCACCACCGAAAGTCTAGTTTCCGTCTACCATCACATATTTGACCCCCTTTACCCAGTTCGCCCTCACCTACCCCCTTCCCTTCTGGTAACCACCATTCTGTTTTGTGTATCTGTGAGTTTGTTTTGTTTTGTTAGTTCATTTGTTACTTTTTGTTTTAAATTCCTCTACGAGTAAAATCGTACAGTTTTTGTCCTTTCTGTCTGACTTAATTTCACTTAACATAATACCTTCAGGGTCTATCTATGCTGTTGCAAATGGCAATATTTCATCTTTTTTATTTAGTATTCCATTGTGTGTGTATGTGTATGTGTGTATACACATTTTCTTTATCCATTCATCCGTCGATGGACACTTAGGTTGCTTCTATATCTTGGCTATTGTAACTGCAATGAACGTAGGGGTACAGACATCTTTATAAATTGGTGTTCTCCTATTCTTTGGATAAATACCCAGAAATGGAATTACTGGGCTATATGGTAATTCTAGTCTTAATTTTTTGAGGAACCTCCATACTGTTTTCCATAGCGGCTGCACTAATCATTCCAACCAACAGTGCACAAGGATTCTCTTTTGTCTACATCCTCTCCAACACATGTTATTTCTTGTCTTCTTGATAATAGCCATTCTAACAGGTACGAGGTTATATCTCATTGTGGTTTTGATGACATGATTTTACATACAGAGAACGCTAAAGACTGCACCAAAAACTATTAGAAATAATAAATGAATACAGTAAAGTTGAAAGATAAAAAAAATCAATATACAAAAATCTGTTGCATATCTATATACTAACAAAGAAATATCAGGAAGAGAAATGAGGAAAGCAATCCCATTTACAATCACAAAAAATAATTAAATAAAATACCTAGGACTAGACTTAAAAACGGGAACAGGGCTTCTTAACAGGAACCTTCATTCAATTCAAAGGGAATGTGAAAAAGGAATATTATCCAAAATAAAAACATCTTGAAGACTGGCGGATGTCTAGAGAACTAGCTCTTGATTTTAAGAAGCCCAGAAATAAAGTGGCAGAAAATCTCGCCTGGGCTTAAATGCCTTGTCTTAAATTAATTGCGTTTGCCCCTGAAGTGCTGGCCCAGTATTGGAGGCATTTTTGCCTGCTTCCTTCCCACCCTGGCCCCTGCCTCATCCTCAGCCCCAGTCACTGGACACTTCCTCCTCACCCACCACCTTTTTTATCCTTTCCCTCAATAAACACCATCCACCAGCAATTCTTGGTCTATCACAGTATGCCTGTCATATCAGCTGCAAGATGCGCTCTGAGTAATTTATTACTATAATAAACAGTTTGTGAAAGATTTACATTTCTAAGTAACTTACAGTGGATTCAGGGATTTTCCTCTAACGACACTATTTTGCCTTATTTGCATCCCAGAATGCATGAAAGAGAAGAAGAAGAAGAAGAAGAGAGAGAGAGAGAGAGAGAGAGAGAGAGAGAGAGAGAGAGAGAGAGGGAGAGAGAGAGAGAGAGAAAGCATGTTGGAGATTAAGCTGCTAAAACAGGAATCATACACGCCAGAGTTTATTCTTTGAGGTCAGGCCGTAGGGAATTGTGCGAATATCAGCTCTCCCATGGTAATAGCAGAAAAAGTCTGAGAACCTAAATAGCCTTTTCTCTGCTTTGCCCTAAAGTCTTGCACTCAGTGATTTGCTATTTGGCCCAGGACTGGTTGACAGATAAGATAACTAACTGGCCCAGTTTGCCTGGACTCCTCCTCTAGTTGCAGCACTGAAAGTTTCATGTTCTGTGAAAGCCCTCAGTCCCAGGCAAATCAGGATGATTGGTTACCTTACACACAGCTCAGGGGTGACTGAAAACCCCTGGACCTCAATGAGTAAGTGACCTAGGCTGTGAGGCCCAATGTCATCTCTGTCCACCTCCCACAGATGAAGTGGGACCCAGGACATAGGGTTGGCTTTGCACAAAAGAAGATTCAAGGAAAATCTAGAGATGGATGGGGGCGTGGCATATTGAGAGATCATACCCAGTGACCTCAGAGTTCTTGAGAAAGAGAAGGGAAGGCCATCTCCTAGGAATAAGGAGGACAGAGCTTGAGGAGGGAGCTTGGAGAGAATGGAGTGAGCTTGAACAGCTGCTCTGGGGAGTATGGTTCAGGGAGCCAGCCTGAGAGGAGGAGCAGATGGCTGGGCTTGGCAGTTCTAAAGGCCTCACCGAGACAAGATTGCCTGTCCAAAGCATCTCCGTGAAAGCTTTTCTCCATATGTACTCACCAGCCTAGAGACAGAAACAGAGGAAAGGCCAACTTAGGAATTGTGGTAATAAACCACCCTGGAATCTCTGTGTCTTACATCAACAAAAGTTTATTTCTTATAATATACACCCATCGCGGGTTGGCTGCAACTCTCCTCCTTGTCACTTCTTCAGTCTGGGACTCAGGGTGAAGGAGCAGCCTCTCTGTGGCAGTGGAAAGAGAGCACTGGGAAGCATAGGCTGATGGAGTCTGCCTGGAGGTGACCTGAGTCACCTCTGCTCACATTTCACTGACTGAAGCAAATCATATGCCTGCCTGACTTGAACAAGGTGAGGAGGTATAATCTTCCCACAGGGAGGGGAAGCTGATAGTGCAAATAGTAACACAGTCCACTCACTGCCTGGGTGGTCCAGGGTGAGAGCTGGCAGGCCAGGGAGCCCATGTGGTCAGCGAGAGTGTTGCCAAATGACTGACCATGGGAGAAGCCGAGTGACCTAACGTCATTGAACACACTTTCCACATTGTGCTCCCTCAGTGTCAAATGTCGCCTTTACCATCATTTAATTAATCATGTCTCCTCTCTAAATTCTCTCTCCCACTCCCTCCCCTTTTGTGTTTCTGTACTGTGGTCTGTCTGTCTCTTCGTGCAGGTGGAGAAACCTAGTATTCAGAGTTCCAAACCAAAAAAGACCTCAGCGAGCCACAAGCCCCCGAGGAAGGTCAAAGACAAACAGACGGTGTCGGGCCGGGCCTCTAAGAAAAAGAGCGCAGAGGGCCCCAGTGCTGCCCGATCCGAGGACAAGGAGCAGAGTAAAGAGATGAACAATAAACTGGCTGAGGCGAAAGAGTAAATTTCACTGCACTTTCCTTTTATTCTTCTCTCCTTATTTTTT